GTGATCAGCAGGCCAGGTCTCGGTTCATCAACAGCTTCCCTGGCAACTCTAGTGAGAGGGGCCTTGGCAGCATGACACGGAGCGCTGCCTTTGCTTTCAGAAGGCTGGCTGCCTATCCTCCCTGCAGACCCATCGGTGGGGTCTGGGGGCACTGTCTGGCAGCTGTGTGTGGTGGAGCAGGTGACGGAGGAGCTCAACGCACTGGTCTCATTTCTTCCCCCCACTCCCCAACTCCTTTAATAACCGGCAGGCCCCATTTGGGTCATGCACGTTAATTGTGCTGTCCTAGTGTTGCACGGAGATAACACGGCTCTCTTGCACTTCTCTATTTCAACACCAGCTGGGAGCATCAAGTCATCTCCAGTTGGGGGCATGTGGGGTGGGAGGCACAGCTGGACGGGGGAAGGGGCCCTCTATGAATATCCCCCACAAACACAGATAGGCGATGACTTGAGCCTGCCAGGGCAGCTGTCTCACGGTGCTAATTATAGAAATCCTGGGGCCCTGCGAGATTGCCAGGGTGTCAGGAGATGGCCCTGATGAGTTGTCAGTCACCCGTGGTGCTGTGCAGCTGACAGAGGGAGTGGGAATACAGTTCTTTTCCAGCTCCCCACCTCCCAGGAAGCTGCGCCAGCTTCCAGCGGGAGCTCGGAGTACGGCTGCACCACCTCCAAGAGATTTAAAACGGGCAGGCCTGCGCTGGCCTCTGACCAGCTCTCAGCTGCTGCGGCTGAGGCTCCCGTTGCTCACACATTGAACCCAGAGTCGGGCCCGGCTTTGCACGCCGGCCGGGTGTTCTGTGATCAGAGCCGTCACACTGAGGTGTCTGCAGGCTCAGCGGGACGGCGAGGGACCTGTCACCTCTGGCTCCCTGGCTCTGCTCTGGAGAGGAAGAGCCCAGTGGGTGGACGAAGACGACAAGCCCCCAGGGGCTGCCGCGGTGCTGTTGGAATGAACGGCCAGGAGGGCCATGGAAAGGGGATTGGTTTGGCCTCTCCGGAATCGATTGTGGGCTCAGTCCTGGTCCTCGTGGGCCGGCGGTCGCATCGCACCCGCAAAACAACAAACCACCGACGCCCTCCGAAGAAATTCCAAGAATGGAGCTGGCCTCTCCTCCCTGGGGCTGGTCCCCCGGGTGAAGCTCAGAGCAGGGGGGAAGCTCGCAGTGCTGGGGCTGGCGCTGAAGCTCTTTCGGGGCTCAGTGGCTGATTTTCCCCAGTGCTTCCATCTTGCCTCAGCACGGCCCTCGCTGGAGGAGCAGGAGCCTGCGCTAGACGGGCCTTTCCTTCTGGCTCGGCAGGCCTGGTGGCTGCTGCAGGAAGATGTTGCTGCTTATCAGCGCTCCGCAGGCAGGAAGGGAGATGCTGTTCTTGGAGTGGGCGGCTTTTCCTGTTGGCTCAGATGAGAGATGAGCTAATCCAGCCCAGAGAGCCCGGCTCTCTCAGGAGCGGGTCCACCCAGGCTGGGAGCCTGCTAAATCTCATGATGGGGCTGCAGCTAGGAATGCGCCCTACATGGCCGGGCCCTGGGGCGGCCTGTTACATGCGGCAGGACCCGTGGCAGGCCCGGCCCTGACCCAGCTCTGTGTGGAGAACGGAGCAGAGCGCGAGCGGCCGTCTGCTGTCCTTGGCAATGACCTGCTCCTAGCAGCCCTTTAATCATTCCCCCGCCTAGTCTCAGAACCCTCTCCAACATCCGTCGTGCACCGTGGACCTGGAGCTGGGCACTGCATTCCATGAGCACACACCAGGGCTGGCAATGTGGGGGGGTGGTCAGGGACCGTCAGCCCTTCGTGCCACTCAGAGACTGCGCCATGCCTCCCCCAGCCAGCCCTGCAAGCGTGCCCGCTTTGGCCACGATTTAAAAGGACCAGGGTTCCGGTCGCCACTGCCACTTTGAAATTGTTGGTCCCTGGCACAGCAGGGTCAGACACAGAGGAAATATAACCTCCTTCTCCTATTCCACATTCCCCTATTGACACATCCCGGGTTCACAGATGCTCTGTTAGCTGCAGTGCTGCACTAGGAACACCTTGCAGCCGATGAATCCACCATGACTCCGAGTCTTTCTGCGGAAGCACCGTTTCTCAAGCTAGAGTCCCCCTCCTTGACGTAAGGCCCACTGCCTTTGCTCCGAAATGTAGCGCTTTACTGTCGGCCACATTGACGCGGGGAGGGATTGCCGGTGCCCGGTTTGACACGCGAACCAGATTACTCTCCATCAGTAACTCCTCCCGCCGTTGTGTCATCTGCCGGCTTTCTCAGTGACGCTTTTCGGTTTGCCTCCGGGCCCTTGGTAAAACCGTTAAACGGCACTGGGTGCCCGCAAGACCCCTCTAGAAACCCCCGCTGGATGAAGGTTCTCCACTTACATTTCATAGAATCATAGGACTGGAAGGGACCTCGAGAGGTCATTGAGTCCAGCCCCCCGCCCTCAAGGCAGGACCAAGCTCCGTCTACACCATCCCTGACAGATGTCTATCTAACCTGTTCTTAAATATCTCCAGAGAGGGAGATTCCACCCCCTCCCTTGGCAATTTATTCCAATATTTGACCACCCTGACAGTTAGGAATTTTTTCCTAATGTCCAATCTAAACCTCCCTTGCTGCACTTTAAGCCCATTACTCCTTGTCCTGTCCTCAGAAACCAAGAGGAACAAATTTTCTCCTTCCTCCTTGTGACACCCTTTTAGATATTGGAAAACCGCTATCATGTCCCCCCTTAATCTTCTGTTTTCCAAACTAAACAAGCCCAGTGCATGAAGCCTGGCTTCATAGCTCATGTTCTCTAGACCTTTAATCATTCTTGTCGCTCTTCTCTGTACCCTTTCCAATTTCTCCACATCTTTCTTGAAATGTGGCGCCCAGAACGGGACACAGTACTCCAGCTGAGGCCTAACTAGTGCCGAGTAAGGCCTGCACTAGTTCAATAGTTTCAATAGCGAGACCTATGCGTTAGCTGGTTTGAATCCAAGTCGTGGGTGCGGGGTCGATTTTATGTGCTTCAGGTTCCTTCATCGAAATGCTGAGCAGCACCAAGTCTAAGTGCCAGATGTCTAGGAACATTACGACAGCACTGCCTTTCTCAGCCAAACTCGTCGTCTCATCAAAAACCATATCGAACTAGGGACAGGATCTCTTTCCTGTCGACCCACGCGGTTGGGCATTGATTGCATTGCCTTCCTTCCACATTGTATTAGTCAAGCGCCACATCAGCCAGCCCCCGTTCTCCTTTCTAAAGGTTGGCCCACGACGGGGCTGTGGCAGTCCTTGCAAAACCAGCATCTAGGCACCTGGGCTGCTTCTTGTTATCTCCAAGCGTGGGGCCCTTGAGCTGAAATTGGAGAGGCAGCCACAGTGCTTTCTCCAGCCAGAATCGCTCCCATTCCAGCTTGCG